AAAGTAACAGTGTGTAAAAAGGGCATAAGAAAAAATTCCTTAAAATCTTTTAACCTCGCAACTAAGAGAGATAAGGTCAAAAGAGTATCACCTGCAATGCTTCTTCCAAAGTTAAATTTTGCTGTAAAATCCAATCTCTCAAGCAGGATATTGTTTTTGGTCCAATCCCTGACAATGCACACAAGACGGCCGTTAATGCCATGGAGAACATATTTTCCAAATAAAATGGCCTTAAAGCATCAGTCGACCATCAAAAGAAAAGTCAGAGTAAATCTAAACTCGGTCAAATCCATTTATTTCAACTCCATTTTTCAATTTCAACTGAAAACGAAAACCATGTCAAAGCCCTTTCCATATTGTGGGTTTTGACCTATTTCATATGAAAGAAGAATGCCACAGGAAGGGTCATACCGCATTCACATAGAAGTTAAAATTATCGTTACCATAACATCAGGGATTCAAGGGTGTTGGCCTGAGCTCAACAATCGAATTGAATATTAAAATCATGCTGATGAGATCATTTTAAATTATTCAATCTAAGCACAAACCTTAGTTGCAATGAACAAGCCTAAATTGCGCTCCCACATGAACCATGGTTAAGCAATTTGCGAACAAAATTATGTGAGGAACACATTCCCCATGCTAGAACATTGTCAGTAATGCCTAGGATGACACTCCTCAACCTCTTAATAATGTCATTCCCATTATTTCACGTAAAAACACTTTCAAATGTCCCAAAAGCACATTGCAATCCACAAGGAACGCATCCCACGCAATGTCCTACTAGTTGACAATTAGAACTTTTAGATTCACCATAATAGTTTTCCCATTCAAGGAACTATGCACGTTCAAATAACAGGCTTCTACTCAAACTCGAAATCAACTCAATCTCTCATGGGGTTTCTCTTCCTCTCTAGGGTTTTTCTTAATACCCAGGGTTTCTCTATCCTTGTGGACATTCATCCCACTGAAGATCTTGATGTCATCTCACTTGTGCAGCTCTAGGAACTCATTGAACTTCTTTCCACTTGGAGCTGTTGTGAATAACAAAGTTTATATTTATTTTCTATTGTATTTAAGTTCATTGGGACTTATCTGCCTTTTCTCTTTTCATGAGGATAAAGTTGTCTTTTCCCTTTCATAAGGGCAACATTGTAATTATAAAATTTTGTTAATAACATAGAAACGTTTATAAATTGGGAAGACAATGATACACCACAATGACACCTCTTTTATTTTCATCCCTCAATGTGACTCTATCTTCTCCTCGCATTCTTGTATCTCCTAAGCTCTCTCACCTTCTAGACCCCAATCTCTTTCGCTCTTCTTTATCTTCTCCTCCCATTCTTGTATCTCCTAAGCCCTCTCACCTTCTAGACCCCAATCTCTTTCGCTCTTCTTTATCACTTACCTACTTGTTTGCTGTATTTTTAACTGGGTCTTAGAGCAGGAGACCTTGGGATGTATTTTCGAAACCCTAATCATTGGATCTGATCATACATGGGTCCTCATTAACTGTACTGTCAGAAATCCAAAATCTGAGAAAAGCGTTATGGCACAAAAAACCCTAATTTTAAGGTTGCTTTTTATTAGAAACCCTAAACTTGAGGAGAAAACAAGAATATGGTATATAAAAACCCTAACTTGATGGTCACTTTCTATCCTCCAATTTTATGATGTTAGAATCGAAACCCTAGATTTGGTTGGATGATTTGGTGTTTCAAATTTGTGTTGGACCATCCATGTTTTTGAGTTGTGAGACTCATAGTTTACCAAGATCCCGTGTGTGGACAGTCATAGATCTCTATGGGGAGTGAATTCAAGTGGCCGGTTGTATTAATCGGCAAGTTCTTTTGCTAATCCACATGGTTAAGTGGTTGGGTTTGTGTTCATCAGCAAGTTCTTTCGTTAATCAGCGAGTTACAAGTGGCTGGTAGCGTTAATCAGCAAGATTCAAGTGGCTGGTTGCGCTAATCAGCAAGTTTTTTCAAGTGCACACAAGCTGTGTAGTGATCAATATGTTTAATATTAGTGATTCAGAGCACTCTTCTACCACCTCTATTACTCCGGGGTGTAATCTCACACATGGGTACCCATGGAAATAACCCTACTCTGCACACACATACACACACAGTCTATAGATTCTGATAGAGCAAGAAGAATAAGCAAAGGGAAACATGATAAATCTACTAAAAAATTGAAAATAACAAGGGAGCTTAGAAGCCAAGCCCCATAGACATCTCTGGAAAACCAGGCAAAACCCTAAGGATGATCATAAAAAAACAGCTCTCCCTCCTACATAATACACGATATATAGTAGTAAACCTAACCAGAATGTAATTTGGGCAGTTTATTACAGAGCTTGCATTATAACCATAACAAAAAAAAAAAGGAAAAAGAAGCAAAAAAGACAAACTAGTCCAAAAATGCACAAAAGAAAAAAATACCCCTTGCTACGCAGTTCATTGTTTGATGGCTTAAAGGTCTTTTGTAGCAAAATTGGATTCAACAGAGTCGGTTGGGACATCATAAGTCTCTGAAAGAGATTTCCTTAGAACACCAGAAAGCTCAATTCTGAGATATGATTGGAATGTTTGAGCAGATTGAAGGCTCACTGCTAATAGTCACCTACATCAATGTCCCCTGGTTAGGAAGGACTTGCCCTCAAGCCCCTCTCGGCCATGAATCTCCTCCATGCTTCTTCATCGATTCACACCAAGTCTTCCTCTAAGATCCTGGAGTTTTCTGATTCCAGCTTACCCTTCCATTGAACTAGATGTTGATTATACAAATCTCACCAAGTGGTGAAGGTTAGAATATCCACAGCTCCTTGAATGGCCTCCATTGCTCGTTTAGGCAACTAGGCTTCCCATTTGGACTCATCCTTGCTTGCAGATACTCCATGATACATAAGGGTTAGCAACATTGAAAACAGGGGATATGTTATATCCCTCGGGTAGCTTGATTCAGTAGGCGTTGCTCCCTATTTGTTGCAGCATTCAGCAAGGGCAACCTTGTACTTCAGTTAATGATAGAAGCTTATGGAAAAGCGCTCTCGCCGTAAGCACACCATCATCAAGCCTCCTTCACTATACTCCTCTCGCTGGTGTTGGTTAGTGTCGCCCTTATACTTGGCGTAGGTTGCTTATAACTTCTCTTGCACCTGCTTGTGGATGTCTTGAAGTTGCTCTGCCAGCGCCTCTTAATCATGACTAGTTCATTCCCTCATCAAGAAGGGGAATCAGGTCCAGAACTTTGCTTGGCTGGTATCCATACATAATCTCAAAAAAAGACTTCGCCGTCAACCTATTCATTGCACTTTTTTAGGCAAACTTGAGCTGGCATAGAACCTGATCCTACTGGCTGCACAGGTCCTCGACGAGGCTATGAAAGAAATTCCCAAGCTTCAATTTACCACCTCAACCTGGCCATCTGTTTAGGGGTGGTAGGCACTATTGTACTTAAGCTTGGTGCTCAGCTTCCTCCTTAGGATGTGCTAAAAGTGGCTCACAAAGCATGTGTCTTGGGGACTCCATGGACGCAAACCACTTCTTTGAGGTATCGTGTCAAAGTAATTCTTGCAAGGGACCAAGTATGTCATCTTCAAAAACTGATCCACCACAACAGAGATGGAGACACAACCTTTAGCAATGCGAGAGAGTCCCCACCATAAGATCCATGGTAAAGCCTGTCCAAGGGTTGGAAGGGACGGGCAAAGCGGTGTATAAGCATGTGTTCTAGGACTGGCCTCTGTCTAACTGGCCAGCTTGACATCTTTCCACAAACTGGCTGACTTCTCGCTTGAGTATGTGTCCGTAACATTTCTCTTCCATTGTGCAATCATTTTATCTCGCCTGAAGTGGCCACTGAGGCCTCCACCATGCATTTCGGTCATGATCTTCACAGGAAATGACCCTATGTGATGCACAACTTACTTGAAAGGTCTGGCTATGTGGAATTCAAGATAATAAAATCAAAACTTTTCTCTTTGTTTTTATTAATATACCTGAATTCCAGCTAATAAAGTAAAAAAATCTCCTTGCTTTCACTAATATACTTGAATTCCAGTTACAAGAACCACAATACACTGCTGTAAATAAAACATAAAACCCTAAATACAACCTAAGACCTTTTCTTTTATTGTCAAAACATGATAATTTTACCCCTGTAACAGTACCCATGAACAGTACCTATGAATAATAAGCAGTAAAGAAACCCTCGAATTCCTAAAAAAACTTACAAACCCTAAAAATAAACCCTAAAACTAAAATCAAAATATACATCACATGAAGAGAGAACATGTCAGCGATGGGGTTCCATCGTCCATGACAGAGGAGAGAGAGATAGGAGAGAGAAAAAAAAGGACACACATGGCTTTAGGCATCGCTGTGTGTGTAAAAAGAGACTCAGACACGACCCGTCCCTCCACTTAGGAAAGGACTCGATTTTGTGCCTTTGTCAGAGGAGAAGAGAGGAAATGTCATGCGTGGCGATGAGGAACGCCGTGCGTGACATGGGAAAGAGAAACTCATACAGAGGCCCAGCCCGCCACTCGGGTTAAGGCCCGGCTCACTGTATTCCTTTATAAGAAAATAAGGGGAATCTCAAGCGCGGCGATGGGTAACGTCGTGCATGACTGGGAGAGAGAAAAGACAGAATAGAGTGAGAATAGGAAAGCAGAGAGAGATAGAAAAGGAAGTAGAGAGAGAAAAAAAGACAGTAGAGAGGAAGAAAGAGTGAGAGTTTAGGAAAGAGAGAAGAAAAAAAGAAAGTAGAGAGAGAAAAAGAGTTTAAGAAAGCGAGAAAAGAAAGGAAAGTAACAAGAAAGAAAGAGAGTTTAGGAAAGAGAGGGAAGAAAAGTAGAGAGAGAAGGAAAGTATAGAGAGAAAGAGAGTTTAGGAAAGAGAGAAAATTAGGAAAGAGATAGAAGAGATTAGGAAAGAAAGAGAAGAAAGATTGGGAAGGAGAGGAAGAGGAGGCATGCACGACGCTGCCACTGTCGCACATGTCAAGAGAGAGAAGAAGATTGAGAAAGAGACAAAAGAAGCATGCACAGCGCTGCCACTACCTTGCATGTTGAGAGTGAGTAGGGAGAGACAGCGAGTAGAGGAAAAGAGAAGAGAGAAAGACAGAAGAGAGAGAAAGACAGAAGAGAGAGAAAGATGCAAAGGGGAGAAAAGAAGGAAAAGGAAAAGAGAGAAAGGAGAGGGAGAGAGAGAAAGAGAAGCATGTACGGCATTGCCACTATTGTGCATGTCAGGAGAGAGAAAGATAGACATGCATAATTGTGCATGTCCATAGAGAAGAAGCGAGAGAAGAGAGAAAGAAGAAGAAAGGGAAAGAAATAAGAAGAGAAGAGAGAGGAAGAAAGAAGAGAGAGAAAGAAAAAGAAGAGAGAGAAAGAAAGAGAAAAGACAAGACGAAAGAGAATTACCTTGACCTAAGGGTACTGGGCCTGTTCTTCTCTCCCTCTCTCTCTCCTGGACGTGGCCCTCAACCTCAAAGCTTAACTCTAATTTTTATTAATCCAATTGAAGGTCCTTTACAATGAGATATAACATGTATTTATGAAGTTGGGCCCAAAACATGGGTGGATGCCCAAAACTTAACCTAATTGCTAAACAATACAATTTATTTGAATTAAAATAAAATCTAAAAATAGGTGCAAAATTACAATTTTGCCCCTGCCCAACAATACACGAAATTCCAAAACACTTCCTGCTGCAACCATGGAACGTGTTCGATTTTCTTAGGATGATTCGAGGTTGCTCCGTCGCCCGCATGGCCAAAAGATTATTACTTTCTCGTTGGGCTCAGCATGACGATCCATTTGATACTAACTTTGAGTCATCATCATGCAACTTGAAAACTTCCGATCGATAGTGCGCTTGTTTCATGATGTATTTTTTTGGTTTCTTCACTGAATTGCACTGAGCATGTCGTCACGATCGCGTTGCAACAAACGCAACTCAATTTTTTGCCCGAACGAAGATTTTACAATTTTAGGTTTTTGGCCGGAATTTGGATCCGGGGCCAGAATTCTGCAGCAACTTTAACGTCATCGTACGCGAAATCTAACCGTTCATCACACACGGGGTCTAGACCAGTGGTAGCTTTGAACCTTACGCACGCAATGCAACTGGTTTTGCGTCGATCGAATTGCGAGCGTCGTGATATAGCTGCTCGAGTGAGGCGCGCTACTGCTGATTTTCTCCAACTCTTGTTCTCGAATCGTCATCTTCTCTTTAGCTTTTCTCCCTTCTCAGACATCATCACGGGATGTGCCACATATCAAAATGCTTGTCTTATCGAGATGAAGACGCTTAAAAAATTTCTTCACGACCTGACTTGTAACGAGGGAGATATGAGTCCCGAAAGTACCTAGTCATGACTGTGAAAACCGATCCCCTTTAATGGAGACTGGTGCAGGGAGAGCGCACGGGAATAGTGTGCGGCCTACCCCTCTTCAATCTTTCACCCATAACTTTGTCCTGGAGTATCCGTTTAAGCTTAAACTTGACCCTTGGAGGTTTTCGACTATGCCGGATTCAATGGCGGTGGTCCCACAGCCATTTGACGCTCTGAAAATAAGGTTTCAGTTACACAGTCAATTTCAAAGTGCTAGAGGTTGATTTTTCTGAAATTGTTTCTTTGTCTTCACTACCTTAAATACGTCTGATTGCGAAGAAACTTGACAGGTGGCCTTTTGGCGTCCTTAAGAAGATCCTCGACCGCCTTGGGGCAATTCTGAGACTATCGAAAATTCTACTGTAAGTTAGGGCTTTATTGACCGGCTTCCCTTTTATTCCGCATCGGGGACCCAAGGTGCTGAAAAATGTCTTCAAAGAGTCCCCCTGCTGCCTCTCTCCATACTCTTCTTGAGCAAGATCCTTTTCTGAAACATCTTCATCTTCATCTTGATCCTTATCATAGATTGGATCTCCTAAGAGATCTTGTTGTTCATCTGAGCATGTATTGAAGATTGGTGGCAAATCTCAATCTGCAACATGCTAATTTTCAATACAACCTGTGTTAAAATCAAGAATATCCTCCTTCAGATCGAAACTCCTAGAGTGATATTCCCAAAGTTTAGGTCTTCTATCACTTTCCTCTTCACTTGACTCTTAATGTGGAGCACAGCGGTGAAAATGGTTGTAATTAACATCTTCTTGAGCAGAAAGATAACCATCTTTCTCATGAATGATGCTCGTTAGCAGTTGCGTCAACTGCAAACTTACTTTTTGAGTTCCTCAATTTATTAATCTTTGAATCACAAAGGGGCCTACGAGAGCAACCCTTCAACAAGCCCTCCTCGCTGCCATAGGTTCCCCATAATCAGTAACCCTAGGAAGAGAATCAACAAATACCTCACTGAAATCGGCAAGATCCAGGCTGAGTTTGGCAAATCTTGGCCTGAAATCAACAAACCCTAGACTTGGTTGTAGTTTCCTGATTTTGCCCCTGATTTTGCCCCTAAGCTTCTATATTTCTTCAATTCTGGAAAATCACATGGAATGACCCCTCTACGCCCCACGCACTTCTTAAACAATAATATTCAATGTTCAAAGACATTTAATGACCATACAATAATTTAAATGACCCAAAAAGTACTAACTTATATACAAAATTTGTGATGACAATTTTAACCATATGAATGGTAGCTCGTGAACAATAACCATGACTAGCACCAATGAGTAGTAACTAATGGATAATAAATAAAATATATATAGATTCCTTAAAAAAACTTTAAACCTTAAAAGAACAACCTTAAAACTAAAATTAAAATATATATCCTTTCACATTAAATTAAACAACTATTAAAAATAAGAATAATTTCCCCTCCATCACGCTCCATTGAAAGCACAACAGTCCAACTGTAACTGGAGGAAATTCATCAAATAACATTAATTGGATCAAAGCAATTTCTCTGATACCTTTCTGGGAACTCAGCTTTTCTTTCGGTTTTTGAAATGTTGCAAGTTAAGAGGGAAGCTAATGTGACGGCAAATACATTAGCAAACAAAGGTACAACTATGATTAGAATGTTTTTAAAACTCAGTTGCTTTCTTTTCTTTTTTTGTGTCCTTTTATCTTTTGTTATCTTTACTTCTTCTTTTTTGTGCTGCCATCTATATATATTTTTTCTCATTTTAATAAATTATAGGAGAATAGAATAACATATATCAGTGATTCAATAAGAGAGCGTTGACTGTAATGTCAACCAAGTCAACAATGTGAAAGTGGAACTTTAGCTACATGGATGAGCTGAGCAAATGATCATGGCAAGTAAATTATGAATGTGAACCGCTCTAAACATAGAAGAAAACCAACAACTTCTTCAAAATAGTTAGTCAATAACTCACAAAATTATATCCAGATAACGTGAAGACAAAAAATACCACGTCTAGGTCGCTGTAGTACATATTCCATTGAATCTGGGTTGCGGAAATCACATGTCAAATGCAGATATGCTAGAACACACTTTATTTCCTAATGATCAAAATTCGAAAGTTTAGCACCCATTACCCAAACGAACAGAATATTGTAAACAAAAGGATGAGCCAAATAAAATCTCAAAATCATACTTAGCGACTACTCTAGCAAATTGTCAGATCCAACCACAGCCAATAAGAGTTTTCCAACAAGAGTAGCAAAATATACACTTAAGAGTGTACAGAAATGATCCATAACAAGGAAATACAAGGAAACACAAGCCGTGGATAACATTCATTACTTCATCATATCTACAAACAATCATTTCAAAATACATTATCAATAATAAATAGAGAAATTACAAAAAAAACCCCAAAATCAGAGTTTCTAGACAACTTCCCCCCAACCAAGTTTTTTTTAACATCTGTTACCCCAAATTTAACTTTCCTAACAAATACCCCCCAAGTCAAAAAGTCATTTTTTTGACGAAAATGCCCATACCCACACAACCAGACTTTGACGTGGAAAGCATGCGGTCCAACACAAAATAAGGGCGGTCCGGCACGTTGGGCTATTAGAAAGCGTGGGTTCGGCATAAAATAGGGGTGGTCCGGCACTTTGGAGTTCTAGTAAGTGTGGGTCCGGCACAAAATAGGGGTGGTCCGACACTTTGGGCTTCTGGAAAGCATGCAGTCCGACATAAAACTTGGGCCATCCAGCACTTTGGACTTCTGGAAAACATGAGTCCGGCACAAAATAGGGGCAGACCAGCACTTTGTGCTTTCTGGAAAGCATGCGGTCCGGCACAAAATAGGGGCAGTCCAGCACTTTGAGCTTCTGAAAAGCATGCGGTCCGACACTTTGGCTTTGGATTGTTAGGGGGTCTGGCAGTTGTTGCATAGGGTTCGGCACTTTGGTAGTGAGCGAGTCCACGTCAATGTCTGGCTGTATGGGAATGGGCATTTTCATCAAAAACAATGACTTTTTGACTTGGGGGGGTATTTGCTAGAAAAGTTAAATTTGGGGTAAAAATTGCACCGTGGAAGAAGGTTGTATAGAAAATCTCTTTTTTGGGGGGTTTTTGTAATGTTCCCAAGAAAATATCTGTAAAGGAGGTGAACTACTGCATTAGCTTTTACAAGCATACTTCAAAATAAAAGAACTTTGTGGTATCAGATCCAACATACGTAAATGTTTTGCATATGATTGTGTATCGATATGCCAGATTGGAGAACTCATAATGCATATGTATCCTAGATCATAATTACCCGAATCTCTCACCGACAGTCGTGATTCCGAATCTTAACAAAACATGTTTCTATGAAGTCTAGAATCTCGATTCCTTAATTTAGGAATCCCGATTCCAACTCTTATAGATTCTTGTTTCCAATATTTATTGATTCTCGTTGGGATGCCTGTACAAAATCTTGTGGTTTTCGTATGCTTTTACCATTTTTAACTCTTCTCAAAAAAAAACAATTACTGATTCTCGATTACATAAATGGCGAATCTCGATTCTACACTTGCTGAAAATGATTTCCATATTTACCAAAATCCTACCACTACCAGCTTTTGTTTTCTTTTTTTTTCCTTCTTGTAAGAAGTGATGTTTAGAAGTATTTAAGGCATGAAACTACTCAAGCCATCCTTTTTGGAATGAAATGACCAATAGAAACCAAAGTGGTGATCCACGCTCTCTACTTAATTCTTTAAGTATGCAATGTATTGATCCAATGGAGAGATTGCAACTCTAAGTTGTTAGAAGTAATGTAAGCGTGCAAGTACGACATGTTGATCTATGAATTGCATTGAGCCATGTATTGTTTCCCTCTCAGTTCCCTCTCGATTCTAAAGATGTGGGAATCTCGATTTCATAGATGAAGGAAACTCGATTCCATATTAGTCAATTCCATCTTGGTCAGAAACTCGATCCCAAAGAGCTAAGAATCTCGATTCCATCTATGTAGAGTTCTTGATTCCATTTTGGTTGAATCTTGATTCTTAAAAATAAGAATCTTGTCCCCAACAATTCCTCTTGTGTGGACGTTGATTCCAATTACAGGAATCTTCTAGCCTATGGCGATTCCTCAATTTTGCTTCCTAAATCGATTTGGTTTCGGAATCACTTTGAGTAACTCTGTCCTGGATCCCCAAAAATCTCTTATTGTATGTAAGAAGCTTATGCCATAGTTCTACAAAACTGATTTGCTTCAAAACGACCACACTCCCTGAATATAAGGAGTTAATCTCCCTTTGCTACCTCATGGTGAGGTGCCCACCTTTAACGACATGCCAATGTTCGATGTCACCCTAGTATGCATTGAAGACCCCATTCGACCAAAAAAACACAAAACGCAAAGTTGTGGTGGGGTTAAAGAATAACTTGTGTTGTGTATTAGGGGATTTTTGTCATTTTTATACACTTTAGGATACTTATTTTCATTGAGGGTATTTTTGTCCTTTATAAATCCTACACAAACATTATAAATAAAAATATTAATGGGGTATGGGATGACTAAATCTCACGTCACCCTCTCCTCTCTTCTCTTCTCTCTTTCTTTTCCTCTTCTTTTCCCTTTCTCTCTAGTTTTAACACAATTTACTGTTCACAGCACTGTTCATGGTACTGTCATGGCATTGCTCATGGTGATCTTCGTGGCAATGTTCATGAGTATTGTTCACATGGTATTAGAGCACTGATATGCTTATTGTCTTCTTCTCTCTTCTCTAAAGAAATAGCTACCTTTTTTTAACAAAAAAAAATTGAAAAGAACAGAGGGAAAACCCTAATTCTATTAGTGTTGATTTTGTCAAGAAATATACCATTCCATGTGTGTGAGGCCAACATGGTTGCCTCTATGTGCAGTGTATGTTTGTGCCACCAAAAGGTTCTTCTCTTGGATGTGAAAAGTCGGGAGGAACAAGTGTTAGGCGTGTTGCAGAAGTTGCGAACGACTTGTTTTGGGGTTTCATCGTGCGATATGGCGAAAGAGCTTTGAGCATCAGCTTTTAAATAAACAAGTATTCTTCTTATGGTGGATTGAGAAGTTCTTGTGTGTGTTATCTGTTGTTTTGTGCTTGTGGGATTTCCAGCAGGTTTTTAAGGTGTTTTTAGTGTGTGACCTGACAAATACTTTAATACGTTGCTTACTTGAGATTGTTTTGCTCTAATGGCCGAGGAAAGCAAACCTAGATTTCCTATTGTTAGTGACATAATACCAAGTCCAGCAATCTCTAAAAAATTAAATGGCTCCAATTACCTTTAATGGGCCCAATCTATAAAGGTTTTCCTGGGCGCATGGGTAAGATGAAATTGCTGGATTTTTGTGGCCTACAAAGGCCTAGAGGGCTTGTAAAAAAATAGAATATGCACTTCAGTAGGAGTATGCTGACTGACCATGGGTTGGGTGGTTTATGGCCCTGGTCATGTCCAAAACCCTTGGCCCTAGGCATGTAGCACAACTAAGAAGGGTTTGATGTGGGTCATCCCATTGAGGTCAGAGAGATGCCCAAGGAGCATGTTTGTAGGCCAAGAGAACTATGTAATCTCCTGTGTGTAGTTGTAGCCTGTGAGAGCAAGGTCTAAAGTCTCAACAAACTTTTGTACAACATGCACACATGATAGCCGCATGGGAAGCAGCCCTTTTAAAGGGGTGTACATGTGCATTGAGAGAGTCCCCTTTGCACTGTAGGGACATGTGTTAGACTTGCTCTTAAAGGGGTGACTGAAATTCACATACCAAGATCATGGTCTCATTGTTTTATTATCCAACTTTGACCAGCCAATCATGAGCTCCTGCAAAGAGATTGTGGGTCATGGGACTTTGTTGGGTTGGATAAGAAAACAAATGTGGGCCATGGTTCCTGGGGCAAGTGGAGCACCCTTAGATTCGTTTAGTTTAACCCATTGGTACAAGTCCACTCTTAATATATTTTATTTAGGTATGTAAATGTTTCTTTGATTTTTAAATATTTTTTTTAGAATTTTAAAATATTATTTCTGCTGTAAATTTTCATACAAGAGTATTTCTGAAAATTTCATTACTTTAAACCACATGTGGGACCACGCGCTAAAGTTTCCTCTTTGCATAAAGGGGCACGACTTATATTTTTGGTGTAAACCATGCCCAAAATATTTCTAGTAAACTTTTATGTGGCTCCATGCCACCTTTTTAGGAAAATAGGGGGACACCCCAATTTTCTTAAAATATTGTTTAAAACTAAAAGGGAAGGACCATGCCACTTTTAAATGGTTTTAATTTTTAAAAAAACCAAATAGTGGCACGCCACTTTAAGTGGGATAAGGGGGGCACACCACTTTTTTGTGGAATAGGCACACCCCATTCAAATTGATATAGTTTAAATAGGAATCTTGCTCATTTAATTTCCAGCAAAACTTTTCAGGATAAATAGCAAATTTGTGGGGTGAGAGACTAATCAGAATCATCCATCCCAAAACTCAAAAATTTGAAACTAAAGATGGCCCAAAAGAGTCAAAAAGTGGGTATGATGAGTGGCTTATGGAAGAATTCTTTCATCATGGTATCCTTCACAGAGCCATCAATGCCACCCTCATAGCGCTTGTCCCAAGGATTGAAGGGGCAGAGGAATTGAAGGATTTCCAACCAATCAATTTGACCAATTCTTCTTATAAGATCCTCTCCAAAGTCTTGGCCTCCCGGTTGAAACAAGATCTCCCCTTCGTCATCTCCCCCTCACAGTCTGCCTTCATCAAAGATTAGCAAATCCTAGATGGAGTGATGGTGGCCCACAAGTGTTTGCACTCTCGACACCTCAGCAAAAAATTGGGCTTGATCTTCAAGATAGATTGAGAGAAGGCTTACGACTACGTCGATTGGTCAATCCTTGACGAAACCTTATCAAGAATGGGGTTTGGTAAGCGCTAGAGGAAGTGGATGAGGAGTTGCTACTCCAACCCATCTTTCTCAATTCTCATCAATGGGTCCCCAAAAAAAGGTTTCTTCCCGTCCTTGAGGAGCCTTCGCCAAGGGGACCCTCTCTCCCCTTTCCTCTTCGCTATTTCAGTGGAAGTTTTC